TGTATTAAGCCTTGTTTACACAGGGTATATGAACCCAGGGTGTGTTCAGGGCCATGCAACCCCACACCCACACAGATGTCACATTGAGAGCAGCTGCTGCATCTCAACTGACAGCAACGGGACTTCCTGCACGGCGATGCATGGGACATCTGTGCATCTCCGTGCATGTAAACATGGCCCTCACATGGGGCATGAATTCATAAGCCCCATGTGAATGAGGCCTTATGGGATGGAGGCAGGAGTGCAGAGATCTTGTGTTACAGATGGAGTTGGGAGGACTGCTGTGTGAAGGTTATGAGCTGACAGCTTATGCTTTAACGTGCCAGTCACTTGATGCAAGCTTACAGTATAACAATTTGTTTGTCACAATTTGTTTTAAAACAATACTTGCTACCATAAAACTACAGCAGCTACCTTTTTTATAACTTTTCTACAGATGCCGTTGCAATGACTCCTTAGAACTGGGTCCCTAGGCTGGAGTGACACCATGCCTAAAGCTGCCATAATATAGATGACCGTCTCTTGGGGATGGTTGTGTTTGGGAAGTCTATGGGGAAAAGACAACACAGCCCAATGTTTGTCATTAGAAAAAGTGATCAGTCAGGCTGGGAAAAAACCTTATCTGGAAGCTTTTTTTTTATCCGTTGCTGCCTGTCGTGCATCTCCTCTGTCTCTCTATAAGCTAAATGTGATGCAACTGTTCATGTCCAGGGACTCAAGCTGATGTCAGTCTGATCATGCCTACAGTTTCTACAGCTCCCTAATGCTTATTGCGGTCACCATTTTACATTTGCTTCTGCTCTAGATGCTTTTTAAAGACAGTGGTCTTACACTGCCTTCCCACACCCAGCAAGGTAGGTCGGAGGTATAACGGTTTGTGCTAATTTTTCATCATTCCACAGATAACTGGCACTATGTAAAAGATCTCCCACTTATGACACACAACAGAATATTTATACATCACTTGCCTGATCCAGGGGGCCGACAGATACTTTGCGGATATTGGTTGACACATGCTCCCAGGTGGATCCCTGAGGGTAACTTGGAGTGGTACCTTGGCGAAACCATAAATTTCCTGGAAGAAAAGGAAAAGATATTAGTAATGGTGAGTCAGACACGCTACAGAAAGATAGTGCATCTGGTGGCAGTGACAGCTATGTTTTGGGCTCTATGTATACATTTGTTCTGTTGCTATAGGAATCGCAATGCATTGGCGTTAACCTCCCTAGCGGTCTGATTAGGTCAGTATTTCTGTACTCAAAGCAGTACATTTTTTTACATGGAAATATGTATTTTTTTTATTGTAGGCCTGTCATTTTTAGGAATACCTCACTGAAATCTGTCCGAACAAGAGTCTAGTAAACATCCCGGGTATGCTAAAATTTGAAACACGAAATCATAAATTATAATTTAATAAATAATCATAAAAATAATATATTAATAAATATAATTCAATAATATAATCAAACCAAAAACACTGAAATTTGAAATATAGCACCAAGTTCGCACATCACTGAGTAAAGTCGCAAAATCGTTTTCAGTGTCTGATGACGAATTTCCCCACGAATCATTATCACTCAATTCTGTAAGTGATTCTAATTTACTATCGCTGTTCTCTAGCCGGTCTAAAACTGCTTTTGACCTAAAGGGACACTTTTTGGACACCATTTCTCATTTTCCAGGCAGAAAGAACGGTAAAAATGCAGGCAGGGCGCAGGACAAAGCACTAGAGATAAAATGTATGTGAAATGGTTTGATACAGTAATGTTTTACTATGTGATTTTAGTGTATTTAGTGAATGTCACCTTTTCACATTTTTTAAATTTCCCGCCGTTCCTTCCCCGTACGTCCTGACGTCGCAGGAAACGGAACCCAGAAGACGGATGCCGGCAGCCAGAGGACATTGCCGGGGACACTGCAGGGGGGACATCACGGGAGCGCAGGACAAGATAAGTGAAGAAGAGATCGTGGTGCAACGCTGCAGGGTATTCCCGAGTGTAGCTCGGGGTTACTGCTTGTGGTGCTGAAACTTTACCCCGAGCCACACTTGGAAATACCTCAAGGGAGGTTAATCAGTGACTGCCTTCAAACACAGGCCTGGTCATTGAGTGAATACACGCACACTGAATCTATTGTGGCTTGGGGCAACAGAAACATTCCTTTTGCAGAGTCACAACTCACATGCAGTATACATATTTTAAATATACATTTATTGGTTAGTCTGGATGTTAGCCTTAAAGCCGAACTTTAAGGACCTGTTCACACTGCATGCATTTCAGTTGCTTTTTTTCTGCATCCAATACGCACAGAAAGTAGGTTATATGGTTGTCAATGTTATAGTTCACATCAGTGCTTGCAGCTCCAGTGCGTTCCAGTTGCAGAAAAAAAAAAAAAAGTATCACATGCTAAAACTCTATTTACTGTATACACAGTATAGCAGTGTTTTGTTCTAGCAGTCCTGTTCCCAGAACAAAATCGAGTTGGGCTGAGCGCTGCTCAGCTATTCACACAAAACACTTTTTATTTTCTGAATGAATACACAGCCTTTTCTGATTGACTGAGGTGGAGATCGTGAAGTCTTTTGTCTGCCTGAGAGGAAGCCTTGTGTTCAATCAGAAAATACAATGCTTTCTGTGAGCGGCTAAGCAGTGTTTAGCCCGACTTGATGTTGTTCCAATAGCAGGACAGAAAGTCTCCGTCCCACTGCCGGAACACAGAGCTATAAACGGTTTGCAGCTGAAGCCACATATAGTTCATACAGTGCCTCTGCAAGTTTTAGTGACAGATATAGTTCGTTTGAACCTGCTTGGTCCAAATAAACCATTAAAAGTTTATTATTACATCGTTAGATAGTTAGTCTGGCTGAAAAAAAAAAAAAAAAAAAAAAAAAAAAAACTCCGTCCAGTTCAACCATTAAAAGTTAGAATCCTATACCCACAATTGGTCCAGAGGAAGGCAAAAAAAAACCCCCAGCAAAGCATGATACAATTTGCTCCTGAAGGGAAAAAAATTCCTTCCTGATCCCCCGAGAGGCAATCGGATATTCCCTGGATCAACTTTACCTGTAAATGTTAGTATCCACTTATATTCTGTGTATCTAGGAAATAATCCAGGTCTTTTTTAAAGCAATCCACTGAGCTGGCCAGAACCAACTCTTGAGGGAGTCTATTCCACATTTTCACAGGTCTCACTGTGAAGAAACCTTTCCGTATTTGGAGATTACATCTCTTTTCCTCCAGACGTAAAGAGTGACCCCTTGTCCTCTGTGATGACCTCAGGGTGAATAGCTCTACACCGAGTTCACTATATGAACCACTGATGTAATTATACATGTTGATCATATCCCCCCTTATGTATTATACATGTTGATCATATCCCCTTAACCTCCTCTTCTCAAGAGAGAATAAACTCAATTCCTCTAATCTTTCCTCATAGCTGATCTCTCCATGCCTCGTATCAATTTGGTTGCCCTGCCCTGTACTTTCTCCAGTTCCCCAATGTTCTTTTTGTGAATTGGTGCCCAAAACTGAACTGCATATTCCAGATGAGGTCTTACTAATGATTTGTACAGGGGTAATATGATATCTCTCTCTCTGGAGTCTATACCTCTTTTAATACAAGAGAGGATTTTGTTCGCTTTAGAAGCCGCAGCTTGGCATTGTATGCCATTATTAAGCTTGTGATCTACCAGAACTCCCAGATCCTTCTCCACCATTGATTCCCCCAGTTGTACCCCCCCAGTATGTATGATGCATGCATATTCTTAGCCCCCAAGTGCATAACCTTACATTTATCAACATTAAACCTCATTTGCCACATAGTTGCCCAATTAGAGCACTGAGGTCGGCTTGTAAACTGAAGACATCCTGTAAGGACATCATTCCTCTGCACAGCTTGGTGTCATCTGCAAAGACTGAAATGAGATTTTTAATCCCAGACCCTATATCATTTATAAATATATTAAAAAGTAAGGGTCCCAACACTGAACCTTGGGGTACACCACTAATAACCCTAGACCATTCAGAGTATGAATCATTAACCACTGCTCTCTAAATACGATCTTTTAGCCAGTTTTCTATCCATTTACATATGGATTTTTCCAAGCCCATAGACTTTACCTTACACATTAGCCATGTGTGGGGAACTGTGTCTACTGCCACCCCTCTGTCCAAGGTTTTGCTCACCTCCTCATAAAAGAAATCATATTTGTTTGACAACTTCTGTCTTTCATTAATCCATGCTGTCTATTGCTTAAAAATTACATGGAGTTAGGCTTTAAACTGCATCTAAACCCAGGAACTAAAATGCTGCTTTCCAGTCCTAAGATGTGGTGGATGCATTCGTTTTCTTTTTTTAGGCTTTTTTGCTTAATTTTTACCTGATGATCCTGCCAGAAACACACTGTGTCCTAGGGTAACTCACTCACTGTACTGTATTTATGAAATAGCAGTGTTGCCACCCTAGACTGCTTGCTCCCGATTCCCACTACAGACCATTTCCCCATCTCTCCAACATGGCGGGGGAGGCATTTTTTCATTTAGTGAACAGGGCAGGGCTGAGATTTCAGTTCATAAAATCAGCAGATTGCACAGGTAATAGGGAGCTCACTGGACTTTTGTGAAGGTGAGAGATCTGTTTAAGATAATATTTTGCTATAAACATTGACAGATTTCTGAAAGAACAAAACAACCCAGGGTAAGGGATATCCATGTAAAAGGACAAACACTGTGTAATAGATGACCAAGGCCCAGATTACCTCCAGCTGTACTTTTCAGTTTCTATAAATGATTTATTCATGTGGAGTCAGGTTGAAGGTTCTATTTTAAACTGCTCCTTTTCATTGTCTCTATCAGTGGGTTCCCAGTAAACACAAGGAGTATTTATCGTCAGAAGCAGAACTTTAACAACACTTTCTGATAGACGGCAGAATTTTACCAGGTGTGTTAGACAGGCCATACCTATGAAGGACAAGGCACAGTACTTACCATTTTCATCCACCACTAATACAGATGTTTGGCCCACAGAGACTTGCTGTAGCTTCTGCTTCTGTGGAGAAGGAATGTGATACCAGCAGTCCCCTGGACACAAGCAAAAGACATGAGATATACAAAGCAGTTAAACCCAGTTTTACATTACAGTCTGTTACTTACAAAGGCATTGCTATTACTCAAGTTCATGAGCCAGCTGTGGTTCCTCCTGCTGGTTTATACAGCTTGTAGTAACACAGGAGTTGGCAGGAGGAACCAGAGCACCCGGTAGAGGAAACAGACATTCAATATGTTTGGACATGTGTAAATATAAATAATCTCTTTTTACGGGCTGGATTTCATTTAATATGGACTCCATAGTGACAGGGTCTCTTTAAAAATCAACATTTAGAATAAAGGGCTTCCTGCAAAGAAGAAACGACAAACTAAGTTCTCCTGCTGTCTGCGCTGTTGGTCTCTGCAGTTGTGAAGAAAAAAAAAAATACTCAAAAAAGATCCTGAAGAATCCAACACTTCTATTTCCTAATGTTTAATTCTTGGTCCCCTGCTGCGTGCTGTGATTCTTCCCACCATCCCCCACAACACTATAAAACACAATAGAGATGTAGGTGTCTGCAGTCTGAACCACTGTGTGCAGGGGGAACCATGAAAACGACACTCCCAGTAGTGTTGGACTGATTCAGAGACTGACAGCACAGGTGCCAGGAGAGGAAAGTATGCCATTTCTTCTTTGCAGCCGGCCCTTTATTTTCAGTATTAATTTTAGGGACAGATTAGCTTTCATGCCTGATTTCTTTTAATCAGCAGTTTCAGGAAACAAGTAAAACCCATATGGGAGCATGTAGGCTATGCTTTCTCTATATATCCCTAGGTTAGATGTTCAGTTCTGAATGGAATTTGCAAATCCTCTGGAAAAATATTTAAAGTTATATTAAAGCTTTAGCTAATGTTACTGCTAATAGGATTAATTACCTTTCATACAGATTCTCAATGTGGAGAAGTCTGTTTTTTTTCATCCTGAATTATGTGGTACCTACAGTGCTGGCCTCACTTTCCTGTGTAAGGGTGGCTCCTTCAATTAAAGAGTCCTATAGAGCCACTTGAAGGTATGTGCTCCCAGCAGAAAGTTCAGGGTGACGTAATGGCGCCAACAGGCACAGGCAGCCTGAGAGAGTTGTGTAAAGCAGCTTGTGCACAACACACAACAGCATTATTAGTTATGTGACATTTATTCCCGAAGAGGGGGATTAGTGGGCTGTGAAGTAAGTAATGGAACTGGAAATTCCAGACTGGAAATTCAAGAAAGCTGCACACTAGGACCCAATGCTGTGGCTGTGATATGAAAATAAGTGTTCAAGAATATTTTTAATGGAAACATTTATTATTTTGAGCTAAATTCATTCATATTGAATTATTGCAGAAAAAAAAAATCACAAAGCCTTTAGTACCACTTTAAATTTAACTAAACAAAAAAAAATTTCTTGTTTTTTATTAGCTCTGGATAGAGTGGAGAGGGATTAGAACCTCTGCATGTATTTTACTGCTATCTGTGCCCATTATGGAGGTTCACCCTCTCTATTTGTCCTGTTTACCACTATCATCAGAAGAGAAAGTAAAAGAAAATTCCAAATTTTGGGTTGTCCCCAGAAAGGTAATAGAGGGGAAATCTTCCAATGGGGACCCTAGTTCTGGTGACGTAGGGGGTCCTAAGGGATTCCCTCAATTTGCAGGGATTTCCCCTCACTTCCTGTTTGGCTATGGGAGAGGAAGTGAAGGCAAATCTCAGTAAAGGAATACAGATGGCAAAAAAAAAAAAAAAATCTGACAGGGGTCATGACCCTCTCTTACTCTACTCAAAATGAAAGTTTTGCCTACAGTCCTACTTCAAATGTTTATAGAATTCCTCAGTCATACCATTTGGAATAATTAAAACATGTGGATGGTGTATTTTTTCACCTTCTATCCTCAGGGAGTCATAGATGTCCATGGGGGGATGGGTACAGGCACAGCATGATGCATAGTGGCCCTAACATTATTAAAGCAAGGCAGTCACTGATAAATTATTTTGGTGATCTGGTTTATGGGATCAGATTTCAAAACGGAGACAACACTATTAATTTGTTATATTTAAAGATCTAAACAACTTTGCCTTTATAAGTCATATAAACCCTATCGCGCTAACCCTACCCTAACTGACAGAAGCTCTTTCCTGGTTTTCTGTAATGTGCTACTCCAAATGCTTTCATGCTGTCTTAGTTGCTGGGGAGACGAAGATGTCAGTCATAAAATACTACAGAGAGGGTATATAATGACGGTATATAATGAAGGATGGAAACAATTTCTAAAGAATAGCTGGAAAAGGTATGTTTCACAAAATCTCTCATTCTCCAGATTAATGCTGGAATGAGTGCCGCCATCTTGAATAATCACATGTACAAAGCGATAGAGAGCTACCCACTCCATGCAGCTTTCTGTTGTAGGCAGAGATTTCCATTGCAAGTTTCCACTGTTTCAGCTCTGCAACATCATGACTTAGTATTAGAGAAAAGACTATAGACCATGTGCTACATGTATCTATTTAACTGAACTAGTAATATTGATACTTTGTAACCTGACAAACTTTGCTTTTCCTGTATGGCAGAAAAATTGTATATGTACAGGCCCTGATGGAAAAAAACCATCACTCTTGACTTATTTTTACATCGCGATTATCAGTTTTAGCGTGTTTGTAGAATATCATAGTCTGTTTGCCACTGTCACAGACACATATTTGTCTTTCTATTAAGACTGCTAGAAGGTCACCTCTGATATGAGTGTGCTATTTACTTACTGCCACACAGTGTGCACTGCCTACCCCATCACATGGCTGCCAGAATCGCCCCAGGCCATCCACAGCATAAAGCAATGCTCCAGTGACATTTCAGCCTGCGTGTTATGTCTTATATCACAAATGGTTTGTTACAGCAATGTCACTATTCATACATGATTCTCTTTTCAATGTGTCTGTATTTCAATTTATCTGCAAATGTATTCCCCGACTTCATACTCATATGTTGTATTCCTATTTTAGGCATCTTTGTTGCCTGGTGTGTTTGCAATGACAATAATTTTAAGTTGCCATTGCATTGTTCACCTAAAAGTAATTTTTGATGCAAGTGTCTTTAGCATAGCCATGAGGGGGAAGAAACTCAGTTTACAATCTTTCTGCCTTCCTTCTAAAAAAACAGAAGTATGGCCAAAAATGTTTGGCCATACATCCCTTTGGGGTCACAGAGCTTTTTCGGGTTTTGGAAGAATCTCGACCATATCGTCAGGATCCACCCAGATGCCTGATCGGCAGCCAGAGCCAACAGCTCCCATTCCTTTGCTTGGTATTCCAGTGAGCGCTGGAGCAGAGAGCAGTGACTTACAGTTGCTGCTGATCTCTCAGTTCTCGGTACACTCAGAGAAGAGAGGTTACCACTCTCTGTTCAGAGCAGACCAAGAACTGAGCAATCAGCGGTCAAGTGATTGCTCAGTTCACGGGCTTAAAGTCGGCATGGGACAGTTGCAGCACCACAGGGTTACTGCAGCATGGAGATATGTATGGTTTTTTTTTTATAACCCCATACATCTCATTTACCAACTGCTAAGATATCAACCACATATTAATTTTTGCATTGTTTTCTTTTTTTTTTTTTTTAATTGTAATTTTATTGGATTTTTCAACATGAACAGAATATGAAGGAGCAAAGAACATAGAAAAAAATAATGGAGATTGTCTCAAACACAGCACAAGAGGCTTCATAGTGCAAGCCAAATAAAATAACAGAGTTAACAAGAAATTACTCATCAAGTAGCATCATTAAAAGCCCGGGTACAGGAAGAGTGCAAGGATAAATAAAAGAAACACACCAGGGGCACAAATGCATTGCTGTCACTGATGCAACTGACTCAGACTTGCATTGTGAGAATGAGCAGAAAAGCACACACATTGAGTTGTACAGAAAAGCAGGAAGCTTGACTATGTATTGCATAAATATTGCGCTCTCTCTCTCTCTCTCTCTCTCACATTGCCATATAGTGCCTTGAAAAAGTATTCATACCCATTTTGTCTTGTTATAACCAAAAATGTAAATGTATTTTATTGGGATTTTAAGTGATAGATCAACACGAAGTGGCACGTAATTGTGAAGTGGAAGAAAAATGATAAATGGTTTTCAAAATTTGTTATAAATAAATATATGTGAGAAGTGTGGCGTGCATTTGTAATCAGCCCCCCGAGTCAATACTTTGTAGAACCACTTTTCCTGTAATTGCAGCTGCAAGTCTTTATGAGGTATGTCTCTACCAGCTTTGCACATCTAGAGTGAAAGTTTTGCCCATTCTTCTTTGCAAAATAGCTCAAGCTCTGTCAGATTGGATGGAGAGCATCTGTGAACAGCAATTTTCAATTCTTGCCACAGATTTTCAATTGGATTTAGGTCTGGACTTTGACTGGGCCATTCTAACACATGAATATGCTTTGATCTAAACCATTCCATTGTAGCCCTGGGTGTATGTTTAGGGTCGTTGTCCTGCTGGAAGGTGAACCTCCGCCCCCAGTCTCAAGTCTTTTGCAGACTTGATTTGTTTAATCTATATACTCATCTATATACTGATTTGTATTTATATGTTATGCACTACTATTTATTAGTGCTACACCATTTATTTATTTGTGTTTACTTTTTGGTATAAAGAGTGGGTGGGATCATTGTCTTGCTGAAATGTCCACCCTCGTTTCATCGTCATCATCCTGGTAGGTGGCAGCAAATTTTTTATCAAGAATGTCTTGGTACATTTTTCCATTCATCCTTCCTTCAAGGGAACTAAGTTTACCAGCACCGTATAATGAAAAACAGCCCCACACTATGATGTTCCCACCTCCAAACTTCACTGTTGATATGGTGTTTTTGGGGTGATGTGCAGTGCCATTTGACCTCTAAACATGGTGTGTATTATGGCATCCAAAGAGTTCAATTTTGGTCTCATCTGACCAGATATTCTCCCAGTATTTCACAGGCTTGTCTATATGTTGTGCAGCAAACTTTAAACGGGCTTCAACATGCTTT